AGTGAGAGAAGCAGTTCTGGCTTTGTCACTGTATCATAGAGTAAATATTCCCTTAACATATTTTATGCATGTTATTTACTTAAGTCTCAGACCCTAAGACTGCTGCTGGGTGCCATCACCTTGGATGTGATATCAGCAAAACGTTTATATCTGTCCCTTAGTCCCCATTCACACCTAGGCGTATTGTAATATGCGCGTCTGTCGCCCGACCGTCACGCGTTTTTTTTACCGCGATTCGCGGTAAAAAAGTTGCGCGACCGTCGCGCGATTCCAAAGGCTACTTGGCAGTATCCAAATGGAAAACGCCCTACAAAACGGCCCAAAGTAGTCCCGGGACCTTTTCAGGCGTGGGCCATTTTGTAGGGCGTTAGGGATGGGCGGAAATACGCCTAGGTGGGAACGAGGGCATTGACTACAATGCTATTTATTTTTTTGACCGTTTTGTAGAGCGTTCGTCGAGCATAGGACGTGCTACAAAACGGTCAGGTGTGAACGCAGTCTAATTCCCAGGAACAGTCCCTATCCATGGGAAATGGGCATCCCCAGCACGGGAAGTAGCGACAGTGATGTATCCAGGATATGGAACATGTTCCAGAGGCCTCTTGAAGGAGGGGGCATTGCTCTGTGGGTCAGTGAAAGTTTGCTGACTCACAGAGACATCAGAGACATCAGACTGCTACTGTCATCATTCAATCCCCCACCACTGGTGGTTGGTTGCTAGTACTGCCTAGCTAACTAGCATCCAGCCACTAATGGTGGGACGGTTTAAATAATGTGAGCGGGTAGTTGGTTACTAGAACCACCCGTCGTTCTAGCATCCAACCAATGGCCCATTATGCCCAGCCAGAATTCAGAAAGAGGAGGCAGATGGAACATCCTTGGCAGCAGGGAGCTGTAATCACACTCCTGGGTGCTTACTCTCCCTCAGCAGACAGTAGAAGTGATTCGGGTTGCTGCAAAGCTGCCTGATCACTTCTACGACCCCTGCACTTGCGCCCCCCGCCATGTTTCCTAGGCTCCTCTATCAGCCCCCAAAATGCTGCTCCAGACTCCCTACAGTGCTGCCTGCATAACAAAAAACCTAGGCCTCTGGTCAAGTGACGAAGAGGAGGTTGTCATTTTGTACTCTGATCCCCTCCTTCATGAGTGATTACTTGACAATGCCTAGGCTTTTGGATATGAGGCACCACTGAAGGAAACCCAGGACAGCATTAACCACCCAGCAAGGCTGTTAACATATAACATTTCAGTGTGCACCAACCTTAAGGGTTAAGTGTTTTACTTTATTTCCCATGTTAATAGACAGGGAGATTTATGGCAGAATGTAACTGAGAACAATACAATTGGAACACAGTGACATCTGCACTGTGATTTCTGGTGCATGGTGACTGCTCAATTACCCAGTCTGCAAACACATGAATGTGCGGTAGCAAAATCCTGGAAATGAGACTTAGCCAGAGACAGGAAAGTAAATGTTGTATATTTTTTTTATATTGCAAATTGTAGGAAACATTCATGTTAACTGTTTAAAGAAAATACATTGGTATCAAATTAAGCAGCTATGAGCTGCCTTGCAAAAAAAGTAATAGACTTGTGTTGGGTGAATGAGGACTAATGCAGCTTGCTGCCTCCCTGTTGCGGGCTGCTCATACAGCTGCCAATACCTGTGTCCTTATAATGGAGGACAGTGGCTGGGTCTGCACTAGACTTGTCAATAGTCTGTACAGAAAAAGCCTGACTGCCCACTTGCCTCCATCATGAGCACAGAGTTAACGCTGGTTATACCATGTTACGATTTGTTACTGAATTTTGGTAGGAAATACCTCAAAATAAATTTTTTTTCTCAGTATAAATGCTGTTTTCTGCCCTCACACTGCTTTGTTTCTGTGCTGGCAGAGCTGAGTAACAGCCACACCCCTCAGTACAGGTTTCCAGACTTGTATTGCAGTGCATGGAAGGAAGAAGAATGTTTGTCTGACCAGGTCAGTTACATTACAACAGGGGCAGGCAACTACGGCCCTCCAGCTGTTGTAGATCTATAAGTCCCATGGGGCATTGTAAGACAGTGACAGGCATGGCTCTCAGAGGCTGAGGCATATTGTAATTTGTTGCTGAAGCACAGCTGTAGGGCCGGAGTTACCCACCCCTGTATTAAAGTGTGTTCCGGGTCTAAATCAGGTGCCTATTGAACTGCCTAGTCATAGGTAGGGCCCTCCTTACCACCTTGTCTTGAATTGTATTGTGATGTCTTCCTTATATTGTAAAGCGCTGCGCAAACTTTTGGGGCTATATAAATCCTGTATTATAATAATAATAATAATAATTTAGACACCCTGCACAGTAGCTGTAACAGAAACGTGGCAATAGTGGTGACTAATCCTTCATCCCTTTTTTGGCCACAGCTTCCAGAGTTCAGTTTCTTTTTAAAGTATAGCTAAAGTTAAAAAAGGAACTTTACCCATATCTTTAACATTCCAACAAAGGCACCTTTAGAAATGTTTGGTAATGGTAATCTACAAACAGATATTTGTAGATAATTGTCAACTTTTTATTCTTTGTACACCTTATTTTTCTTTTCTGCCCCATTCATCTCACAGTGACCATTTTTACTAAGGGCAGATGAATCAATCTCCCTTTACTTCCCGGAACTCTAACACATGTGACTAGGACATGTGACCATGCACATCATCTCAGAGGGAAAAAAAATGCTTTTCCCTGAGATCTCATGAGAATTTGCAGTGTACAGATGCACTGCAAAACCCCACCGATGCACTGTGATATAACATTCCCAGGATGCATCTCTTAGGCCAGGGGTCAGCAACCTTAAACACTCAAAGAGCCATTTGGACCCGTTTCCCACAGAAAAGAAAACACCGGGAGCCACAAAACCCTTTTGACATCTAAAATGAAGATAACACGTCATATATCGTTTTTTACCTTTATGCTATGTATATAGGTATATGTGGGCTTAGTAACGCACTGGACTCAGGGCTTACCTGAGACCCCACCTGAGTGTGACCCTGCAGGGCACACCATAGATCCTGCACAGCCCATCTGAGACTCTATGGTGGGCTCTGCAGGGCCTCAGGTGGGCTGGTCCCTGGGTCCCTTTCACTGTACCTCCTCCCAACTCCTCTTACCTAGTGCTGCTGCTGGGGTCAGGCCTCCTCCACCCCCTCCCCTGCCACCTCTGCCATGCCGCCCCTGGTACAGCTGATACTCATGTAAGAGGCCCCCCAGGCTGCCCAGACCCCTCACATGGGTACCGGCCATACACACACTTCTCCTCTCCCGCCGCCTGTTACTAGGGATGCAGCCGGGAGAGGAGGTGAGTCCCAGGACCCTGGACTGCCGCATATTCCACCAGAGGGTTGCCCAGGACCGGACCTCACTGGACCCCCCCCCACAGCCTCAGGCCCCGGGGGTAGTTGTGTCCCTGGAAAGGGAGCCGCATCAGAGGGATGAAAGAGCCACATGCGGCTCCGGAGCCGCAGGTTGCTGACCCCTGTCTTAGGCCATGTTTATATCACTAATGCCTATGAATACCAGGAAGTGGAAAGAAATTGTAAGAAAAAGAAAAATATGTTTATTTAACTAATGAATGTAAGATGATTTCATATAAGCATGCAGAGCTCAATGCTGAGGTGATTTTTAGTGAAAGGGGGGGAAAGATCCGCCTTAATGTTTTGTTTTTTTTAGTTTAGAGTAAAGTAGGGAATTGTTAGAACCCTGTTAGTTTTCATTTATTTTTGTTATGTTATGTTATTTATTTATAATATTTACAACCTTTTTATAGGTTTCCCTTCCTTAGAAATACAACGGGAAATGAAAGTAAAGGGAGATCCAGCCATGCATTTTTGCGTTGCAGAGGCACCCTAATGCATGTCCAGAATACAGCTGCGTTCACTGTTCTATTACAGGCTGGGAACAGGGAGGTGACCTAGCTGTGTTGCTTAACTGCTATAGTGAGAAGTCAGGTCACCAAGCTGGCTGTCCTGTGTGGCAGAGTTGTGCAAGTATTAGGACTGGATAGAGAGAAGTACAAAAAGTTAGTTTTTTTTTGGCTTTCAGCATTAACGTAGTACTAAAAGCTAAATGTTTTTTATCTTAATGCATTCTCTGCATTAAGGTACAAAATGCCCTGCTACCTTTCCATGTGCCCCCCACCCAAAACACTTACCTAGGGTCTACGAACACCGTCGCTGGCTCCTGGATGATCTGCTCTGTTTCCCCAAAGTTCTGGGTTGATGGGAGGGATGCCAAGCCCATTGAGGGCAATAGGCTGCTGCATCTGCCTGTCAAATTAGTGGGGTGAGGGAGGAGGCGGGTTTAGGGGCATGGCTTGTTGAATGCTGTGTGTGCCAGTGAACGCTCACAGCACCAATCAGTTCCCAGCCAGGAGAACGCACCCACGGGTGTCTCCTTTGTAACCTGCTAGGCAAAGGAGACACCTGTAAACCGGGGGGGGTTGCCAGAAATAAATTAAATGGTGCAATTTAAAAAAAACAAATCTCAGTAAATAAATTGCCATATACAATGCTGATTTACAATTTAAAAGAAACAAGGGTTTACTGTCACTTTAAGGGCAGGTTCACTCCAGAAAATAGTGTGAACTTGCTGCAGTCCAGTGCATTCCAGACTAGACAAAATAAGACCTGCAATATTTTTCTGGTCTGGTCTGGAACGGACTGCGCTGGTGTGAACAGAGGCTAGATCTAGCATAGGGATACATTAGGATGCATCTTGAGTCCGGAAACAATCTGGTCTTTATCTGGAGATGATCTGGATGTGATGTGAATGGGCCCTAAGTGCAGATCATGGATCCTTTTATCTATGTTGAAGATCTGGTGTCCAGTTTATGCATGGCAGCAACTTTCAGTTTATTTGCTCTGATCTTTTGCAGTTAAACTGGTATCACAAGCATATTTAGCATTTGAGAACAGGACACGCACAGGTAATAAAAGTCAGATACATAAAAACAATTCTTGTTTCTGTTGCAGGAAGAAGATGTTGAAACGGAAAATGATAAAGTTTTGAAGATTAGTGAAGCAGATGATGCAGGTGAGTGTGTTTTGCTGGATGATATATGTATAAAAAACTTGTATTTACTTGGAACCTGTGACATCATTTAAAGCTGATCTCCGGGATAAGCAAATATTGCCTCAATACAAGAGGCGTGCGTGTGCGTTCTTGTGTATTCTGGAATCTGCTGTGCTTTGTGTATTTCTTTCAGATCTGTGCAGTAATCAAATATCTCTGCAGGAATAATAAAGACCAGTCACTGCTGCTTTCTCTCTTTGTGCAGGGTGACTGGTCTTGTATCCGCCCCCTCCTGTAGTGGATGAAGCTTGCTGGGTCCTTCCCACAGCTCTGCTCTCTGCTCAGGCTATTTGCAACACAGTGATGATGTCACGGCTACACTTACAAGTTAATAACTGGCGTTGGAAAGCATTTAGTGCGCACAAAGTAGATCTATATTCAATCCTGAAAGTACCACCCCCATAGCCTTCTCTTTTTCTGTTTTAACTCTTTATGTCCCTTTAAACCCAGTCATGTAGTCCCTGCAACCATCGCTTTTTGCCTGTCTGCTCCAGGCCTAACTTTCCATTGCCAATGTTTAGGTAAACTGCTGCCAAATATGAGCTATTCAGCTTCTAAATAGCTCTCCGATGCAGTCAGTATACAAAAACTCTGCAGTCTGTTCCGGGGACACAGTTATCTTTTGGGTCGCGACCCATGAGTTGAGAACCACTGCTCTAGTTGGATGTCACAGTCTCACCCAATATAGAGAAGGTGAAGCCATGGTGCCAATCACAGCTCACATGGACACCTATGTTCTTATGAAACAGCTGATAGTGCAGATTATGAAGGTTCAGCTATCTCCTGTGTACTTGAGGAATTGAGCAGTTCTTTTTAAGGTATACAGCTTCAAGACACAGAAAAATAGGACACAATTATTGTTAGATTCATGTCCCTGAAAGGTATGCTTCCGTTATGAATAATAATTTTGCATGTTACCAATGTAGCAAACAAAATACTGGGTCAATTTAAAGGAGAACTCTGAGGATGTTGATGTTGTTGAGGTTGTAGGGAAAACCCTCACTAGATTGGCCACCTTGCATTCAGTAAAGTTTGGTTGCTATCTACTAACAGCTCCACTATTGCAACATTGTTTATACTATGTATTTATACGTCTCTCTTTTTTCTACAACCTTTGAAATATAACTATGGGCAAAATCAAAGATACCATATATGATGCAGTCTGTCACTAGCAGCACTGCAGTTTTTGTTTTTCTGAGTCTTCCCGCAATAGATTTATCACCCGTTGATCCTGCCAGTAGATCCCTTATATTTACATTTCCTATAGTAGAGTGACAACGCTGTTTATTCTGCTATGTAATCGCACAGTAGGGTTGTCACTCTTAAATGGTTTGTTCCAACCCTTGAGTCTAAAGGTGGCCATACACTCTACAACCATCACAAGACTTTAGTCTTGCGATGGTTGTAAAGGGATTAAAAAAACGTACGATCTGCCTATCTTGGACAGGCAGATCGCACTCTCGATCATCGCAAGCCCGCCCCCCTGAGGGGCGGGCTTCCGATGACCGCAATGCTGAACGGGCAGTGTGCGCGTGCGCACACCGGCCCGTTCAGCATTTATCTTCCGAGCACCGTTCTAACCAGCCGAGAATCGTACGATTCCCGGCTGGTTTTCGAACATGCTGGTTCGACAGTGTTAAAGGTGCCCATACACTGCACGATTATCCTACGATAATCGTATGCGATCGGTTTTTCGTACGATAATCGTACGATAGTACGATAAATTTCGTACGAGCAGTGTGAACGGAGACGTGCGACCGTTTCTACTGTACGGTCGCACGTCTTCTGTCGAACCAGCATGTTCGAAAACCAGCCGGGAATCGTACGATTCTCGGCTGGTTAGAACGGTGCTCGGAAGATAAATGCTGAACGGGCCGGTGTGCGCACGCGCACACTGCCCGTTCAGCATTGCGGTCATCGGAAGCCCGATCTGCCTGTCCAAGATAGGCAGATCGTACGTTTTTTTAATCCCTGTACAACCATCGCAAGACTAAAGTCTTGCGATGGTTGTAGAGTGTATGGCCACCTTAAAGGTTTTGCTAGACTCCTTTCCCTGTTAAAGGGACTTGACACATAACAGGTCTACTGGTAGGATCAACAGGTAATAAAACTATGTCACAAAACCTACTGTGTAAATGCTAATAACGGCATCATACATGGAATCTTTGAGTGTGCCCATAGTTAAACTAGGTATTTTTTTGTAGTTTCTGGTTTGCTGTTTGTTCAGTGGTTTGGATCAACCCTTCTTGAAACCCACCACTGTTTCACCCATATTTAGGCTGGGTTCACACCTAGGTGTATCGAATATGCGCGTTTGTCGCGTGTTTCGTGTCACGCATTTGTCGGGCGATTTGCGGTAAAAACCTCGCCCCTCGGCGCTCTGCCGCCCCGACGAGGCCGGGCCTCGGTGGCCTTGTGGGAAATCCGGGCCTGTGAGCAATAGATTGTATGATTCACCATAATTTGGACAAGCTAGATGAAATAAAAATGAATTCCGATTACTAACAGGGTTATTCACAGAAGAGTGAAGAGTTTGGAGAAGGCAGGAGAAGGGGACAATCTAGGACAACATAGCTGAACTGGAGAGTGAGCTGAATTGGAGAATTGTTCCCAATCAGCTATGTTGTCGTAGATTGTTCCCTTCTCCTGCCTTCTCCAAACTCTTCACCCCTTTGTGAATAACCCTGCAAGTCTCCTGATTTCCAAATACATTCAGAAGTCCCACCTATAAATACTGTGAAATGAATGAATCTAGCCCCATGGGACTATATCAAATTCAGACTGCAGGCCCTTTGCTGCAGTTGAATAGTATAAAAGCCCATTCGTTTTGGTGAGCATGGACTTTGAACCTAGTTTGCATGGCTTTTGAATGTTGTACCATGACAAACAATGGCACAAAATTGTCCTTCCTATTTCTGTGCTGTTTGAATCTCTCTTAAAGCGCAGACAAAATAAAAAAGTAGAAATGGCCCAGAAGGAAGATATTGTATTTTCTGTTGGTACACATTATTACTTTATTGTTGAAGTAATTAAGGAGTTTTACATCATTTGTATTTTTGGTCATACATTTGAAGAATATAAAAAACATATATAGCTCCCAACGGTGATGCAAAAAAAGGAGCTATAAAAACAAAGTATCAATCAGTGGGAGACTTGGTCAGCTTAGGACTACTTGATGAGAACATTTTTTGGGCCACTATTAAGCAGCATACATATATGTGCACCAGTCCAAACATATTGAAAACAATGGAATGGCAAGGAACATGTGTAGTGTGCGTGATACAACGCATAGTTGTGGACAGGGCCAAATGGAACCTGTGTGAACAGAAACATATCTGTCATTGCTAAGTTGTTTGTGAAAGATACAGGCCCAGTAGTTGTGATCCTAATCTTTCTTTTACTAATACTTTGCCACTGGTGAGTTACTGACCTAGTACAAATATGGAGGTCCAGAAGCATCTCTGGCTGCATGTTTATTCCAGGGCAATATCTCAGTAAGTAATAAAGCAAAAATAATGATGACAGCCCTTAGCTATGGCAGCCCATAATTCTGTCATGACAGTTTCCCTTTCCTCTTTCCGGCTCTCCCCACCGCGCCTTCACATCCACAGCAAAAAACTTGGTGTTTCCCAGTATGGTGGAACATGTAATGTGCTCCTGTGATGATGTGCTCCAACATGGGGCTTACACAGTCCTAGACTTCTGGAGTGGCAGGGTAGAGCAGGAAAGTTGAGCATAAGTGGGTCAGTGGTTGAACTTTAGAGAGACTCTGTCACTTAAAGGAACAAAATGACAGAGTGTCTTTAGATGGAATATAAAATAAATTCTGTTCATATATATAGAGCGGACAACAGATAAAAAAAAAAAACAAGGCCTGATGATAAGCCTATCTTGGCTGGTTGAGCATTGACGCTAATATGGGCTCTGTTTCCTTTTTCTAGATGTATGTGTAATTAGGGGGCCAATAGTTAGAATGCGAACCTCTTTTTATTCCACCCATAGAGGTCACTCTATGAGACTACATTCTTACCATGCCCTATTCTAGGAATGCATCTCTATAAATATATCTCACATCAGGGGCTGAAGAATCTTCCTATGAAAAGCACAATGCCCATACCCAGCATATGAATGAGAAGTGAGATAAAAGTGAGAGACGTTTACATTTGCTGATACCCATCTGTGGACACATATCAGCTGCTGGATTACAGTCATACCTTAGACTGGGGAAGGTCATGAGATGATTAGATATGTGTTTTTATGTCAGCGGCATGTATTTTCCAACAGAGTCTGTTATAATATTCCAATAGGAACATATGTAGCCACAACTCCCCTGGCAAGCCTTTGTTAGTGGCATTCCCAGCCATCAACTAGCAAGCAGACACTAATGAGAAAGAGCTCAGTGGAAGCTTTGTCTGGGAAATGGCTTTCAGTTAGGTGTTTGTAAAGATTCAGTGACCCTGGATAAAAAAGCCTTCTACCCTAAACAATGGGGTGTTTGTCAGCCCTGCACCTAGAAATGAATGACTATGACGAGTTTGATTACAGATAAGACTTATTTTCGCCTAAATGACCACGTTCCTACCAGACAATAGACATACAACCTCCCTTTTTCCATAATGCTGGCTGGGAATAGAATGCTGCGTAATTCTAATGAGACAGCTTTCTGTAATAAACGGAAACTGTTGGCTTTTTATAGTGTTGGATATACTGTATATCTGAATATAGTCTTATAGAATCTGTTGTCTTATGAATCAGTGTTTGGGAAATGGGAATACATGCACTTCAAAGTAAAAATGTACTTTGCCTCAGCAAAGCAAGCTATCAGGTTCGCTTTGATGCAGCATTCCCCAGCAGCTTATACTTGCCTCCCTAGAGAAAAGGAAAGTCAGATGTGAGCTATAAGTTGCAGAAGTCATAACTTTCACAGCCCCTTGGGACAGATGGACATGCTCCACCTTACCTGGAAATACTGGGTATTTCTTTTGGTTCCTGACACTGAATGGAATGATGATGGTGGTGGTGTTGGATGGGGGTGTCGGACTGGTTTCTGGGAAGGAGGGAAAGAGAAGGAAGTAGATACTGCTGCAAACATGTTGCATTGCGTTAAAGTGACCCTGTCATGACAAAGTAAAAAGTCTTACCCTTCCAGTAGAGGATGTTTTAAGTCTTCACCATGTTGCCGATAAAGGCTGCCAATACCTGCCAATAACCCCCTGTCAATTGCTATGATTCATCCCACCTGCACATGTGTCCTGCAGGATCCTCACAGTATTAAAAGGAAACTCCAGGCAAAGAGCTCAATGCACATTTAAACATAATATTAGTTACTGTTTTACCTGCCAAATCATTTGTAGTTGTATGCCACCAATCTTGTGATTTACTCACATGCCCTCCTGCACACCACTCCAATAATCAGTGCAATCACTCCCTCAGCAACACAGTTGATTGGAGCAGTGTGCAGGGGGCATGTCAGACCGCTGGAGGCCCAGGCTGCTGTGCTGTAAGAGCAGCAGTCGGACTCTCCAGCATGCTGGATATTAGCCTGGCTGTAACACAAAGATGCAACCAAAAAGTATTTTTACTGTATATACAGCCTGACTGCATTACATTAACAAATATAGAGGGTTCAGTTGAGCTTTAACCAAGGTACGGATGTGTGAAGGGTCTCAGGAGGGGGAGATGTGCAGGCCGGCAGAAGTGCTGTAAATAGGTTCTCAAAAAAGCTGCCCCAAAGTCCCCAGCAAGTACGGGACCTAAGGCAGCCTCTTCAATTTGAATAATTAAAGCACCGGTGCCAGTTTTCGGTATCGGAGCATTGGCACCAGTATGTTCAGTATCAGCGCTGTAATTGGTATTGGTGCATCACTAGTGATATTTGTTATTATTTTTCCCCTGTGCTTATCTGGAGGCTATTATGCTGGAATTTTGCTTTAAAGCTGAACTCCGGGCACAAACGTTTTTATTTAAATGTATTCCTAAATAGCCTCAAATTATATAAATTCAGTTTGTGGGCCCCAAATGACTTTCAGAACCCAAACATTACCTTGTAAAAGTAGCAGTGACATCACCATTGTGCTGCATATAGCCAGTGATGTGCGATGGACCTAGCAGTCCCCACCAACTACAGGCTGCCTGTAGAAGACTAGAGGAGCGGGTGGATACAAGACCAGTTATCCTGCAAAAGGAGAGAGAGCAGCAGTGACCGATCTTTGTTACAGGATGCTCTTCAACAAAGGAAAGTTTTCACACTGGAATACTGCACAGATCTGGATATAATATACAAAGTGCATCAAGATTCAATTAAGAATACACATGCCTCTTGTAGACAATATAAGATGATTTTCACACAGAAACTTACTGTATACACTTACTTTGTTTAATATATAGTCAAATAAACTGCAGTAGACACATCTTCATAAACATCCTATTAGACTGCGGTACAGAATCACAGCTACACACTTGTAAACATCCTCTTCACTGTTTCTGTTATACGGACAGCAGCTAAAACAGGTTGTGATTAAAGCAACCAGAAGCCAAGCAGAAACACATAGAAAGACACATGAAAATAAAACAGAAGTAAAATACACAACTGATAAATGAGAGACCCTTATCTCCTCCTCCTACCCTGACAACTAAAAACAGCCTGACAATCTGTGATACGTTTACTTATAGAAGTGATGTCTGCTGCAGAAATTTTAAATGACTCCGGGAGACAGCACTTCTGTACTGTAGCACTTGCACCTACAAAAGCCGGTCTGTGTTGTCAAAGTGAAAGGGTGTGACAGGGTCTCTTTAACTGCAAGCTGGCCATACATTTAGCATTTTTTCAACAGCAATCAGCCGAAATTCGAGCAATGTATGGCCAGTTTAAGGTGACACTAAACGTGGGAGTTAAACCTTAAAAATACCTTCAAGTACCTTATTAATAGGGATGCACCAATACCGATACCAGTATCGGTATCGGTGCCGATACCGAGTATTTGGGTGAGTACTCGTACTCGCCCAAATGCTCCGATACCTAGCACCAGGTAATGATGCATACCTAGCGCATCATTACACGCTGCCCGGTTTCCTGATTGGCCAGGAAACGGCTCCATGCTCTCTCGTCACTTGTGATGAGAGAGCATGGAGCCGACTTCCCGGCCAATCAGGAAGCCGGGTAGCGTGCAATGACGCGAAGCCGGCGTCATGCTCCCTCATCTCATGAATCATAATATTAAGAAAGTGACCTTAAAGCATTAGTTTGTATTGCTTTAGAAAAAATGTGACCTGTCCCTTTAAGAAAAAGTATCGGTAATTGGTATCTGCGAGTACTTGATCAAAAGTATCGGTACTCGTACTCGGTCTTAAAAAAGTGGTATCGGTGCATCCCTACTTATTAACAAAATACCTTCAAGTACCTATTAACAAAAATGTATCTTTATTGTGTATCACTCAGCTGTAGAGCCTCAAATCATCTCTGAATTGGTCCCGACACTGTCCTTCCTTCTGGAGGGTGGCTACTTTTGTTCCCCATGGTTCCTGTGTGTGTTGTAAAGTAGCCACTGCTACAAGCTCCCTCCCGTGATTATGATTTTCTTAAAATGAACCCATCAAATATTTTTTTTTTTTTATTTTTTTATTTTACAGATGATGAAGATTTCTCATTTAAATACTTACCAGGGAAACTGCGAGGCAGTGACTATGAGAATATGCTGACAAAGGATGAGTTAGAGGAGGAGCAGAGGTAAAAAAACATTTTTTCCACAACCATTTGAATTAACATGACACTTCTGCCTGATTTCTGAGTATTTATGATACTTTAAGATTTATTTAAAATGTTCACTATATACATAGATAGTCCACCGATACCTTACCTGTAAATGACATATTTCTTGGCTTCTGTTGTATAAAAAAGTACTTATCATGTTGCATGAGGAGGTATGCTACAGGCCCTATTCACACTTGCCATGTGTGTGAATGCACACCAAAGCGTGCACGTTGGCGCACTCACACTGCACACAGTGCAGGAAAACAAGCATGACCTGGTGTGAACGCACACCAAAGGGGGCAGGCAAAACGTGCATTCTTGCCCACATGTTGATGCGCGACTAACAGTTGCATGAGCTTCTTTGCCATGTTTGTCGTGGGTAGGGCAGACCATTGTAATGAATGGGCTGATACATGGCACATGTGAATGGTGCCTTAGAGTAGGATAGGAAAAGTAGACACGGCTGTGTTTTTGAAATGTGTGCATTGCCCATGCAGGCAAAGCAACAAGTTCACTTACCCTCCTTCTTTATAATAGCCTCTCCTTTCCTTCCCTTGTGCTCCTTTTGCCACCTGGAAGAGAAATACCCACCTCCTCTGGGTATAGGGAGCATGTGACCTTTTCCACTTTTTGCTACTGTGAAGCTGTTGCAACTTGAAGCGGGGAGGGGGGAATCTAGCCCCTCCACTGTCACGGCAGAGAGCCGTGACAGGATCGAGAGGTGAGCGAACGCCGGTATGTGTTCACTCACCTCCCGATCTACTAAGCCGACCTGTGACAGTCTCATTGTCACAGGTCGGCTAGAACTATGAAGTGAGTAAAAAGCACTCACCTCATAGTTCTCCTTCAAAGACACCCAGTATCTAGTGTGCAGTGCCCATGACAGTGCCGAAGCGATGATCCCATGTGTACTTTTTTGTTAGAACTTTATTGAAGTGACAGTGACATTTCATTCAGTTCTACAGGCACAATCATCTTAATCATAGAGGTCCTGGCCATACCTGTCGCAGAGATGTGCTGATCTGGCCAGTGCATGGCCATGAATAGCCATGTAAATGAGGCCTTTTGTCTTTTGAAAAGAAGGTTTAGCCATATGACTAAGAACTGACTATTGTAAGCATTCCTGCCAGTTTTATACGGTTTGACCTGCACATAAATATTTAGAAATATAAATAAAGGCCAGTGAAATACAAAAAGGAATTCACATACTGCACGTAATACTATCATTACAGGTTTCATCCTTATAATTACCAGAAAACAATATATTTTTGCTTCAGTGGCCCTTTTAATGAAGCTGGGGAGGCAGGCAATTAAGTAAACTTTTTTGATTTCCTTGCTTGGGCAAACCAAAGGTTGACTTTGAAGTTCATCCTTTAAAAATACATTAAAATTAAAACCTTTTACAAGAAAAAACAGTGTCTTCTTTTCCTGCTGTCCTGCATTGCAAATCTGAAAGTACTGTATAGAAATAAAAGTGTGCTTTAACAATGTTATTAAGGTCATTATGAACCTATTAATGTGTTTGTATTGTGCTTCATATTTATTTTTTTAAAGAGTCTTTACAATCCCCCCTGCAAGAGCTTGCAATCTAATCTTAGATATTGGATGTGTGATATGAATTTACAGTATTATTAATCCCCAACTACAGATTATTTAACTTTTTGTGTTAATTCCACAAAGCTTGGCATTCAAGTGTATGACGTGTGGTACACTTAGGGATTAACAAATACATATATAGCAATAGGCTGTTGGTAAATTCAGTGTAAAAATGGTTGGTGCTATCATGTAAACATGTATGTTTGATACATAGTTGCATTCTTCAAACAGCACTCTAAAAAAATCCATAGCACGAGTCTTAAAGGGTAATTTCTCCCTACTTAGACGGGTCATTGAAATGAAAAGCTTTGTCAGTAGTATTTATTACTTGTCTAGCTCTGTTTTTCCAGTACAAAGCTTTGTGTCCAGTCGGAAAGTCTTTTGCATGTTGCCAAGGGCGTCTGCCTGGAACCTACAGATTGTTCATATAGATAAACATTCCACCGGGCTTATATAAGCATTTCAATAGGATTATGATGTGCAAGCTATCTATTTAAGTGCTTATTAAAGTATCACACCACTAAATTTTCATGTTTATTTATAAGGGAGGTGCCGGCATGCTAATCACCTTTATTGGTTTCTTTATTTCTCTGAGACTGAAGCAGTGAGATCTCCGTATCAAAGCTACAGCACCTCCAGCCTGCTATGGCCACAACAACTGCTATACTCTTGTTTAAAGCGACCCTAAACTCAGGAGGTAAATCTTAAAAAATACATTCAAGAACCTGAACTATTAACAAAAATGTATCTTATTCTTATTTATCCATCACTCACCTGTAGATCCTCAAATCATCTCTGAATTGGTGCTGACACTGTCCTTCCTTCTGGAGGGTGATTTCTTTTGTTCCCCACGGTCCCTGTGTTTGTTGTAAAGTAGTCGCCGCTCCAAGCCCCCTCCTGTGGTAGATCATAACTTCAAAACAACTAAGTAAACTAAAAGTGAGATTGTAATCCATCACAGGAGTGAGTTTGGAGCTGTGACTATTTTACAACACACACAAGGACCATGGGGAACAAACGTAGCCCCCTCCAGAAGGCAGGACACCAATTGAGAGATGATTTGAGGATCTACAGCTGAGTGGTACAGAAATAATCTACATTTGTGTTAATACGGTACTTGAATGCATTTTTAAGATTTAAGTCCTGAGTTCAGTGTCACTTTAACTTTCTGAAAAATGCACCAAAAGGAGTGAAACTCACTGCCAAAGCTGCAGCGAGATATAAGACCCTAGTTGGTGATTAATCGCACTGGTGGCCATCCATGACTTTCACCTTAACATTTGTGCTAAACTGCACTTTCCTCTTCCTCCACAGCTGCTTACTTACCTCCATTGCAGAACTGCATCCTCCTCTGGTGTTTACAGCCTGTCCTATGAAACTCTATTCAGCAATGGCCCCATAGGTTTGAATGGCACTGTCTTGATCTATGGCCCATTCAAGCCTATGGGGATTCAGCGCGCAGGTTCGACCAGTGCTGACAAGATTTTATTTGGACAAGCAACAGTAAATTTAAATAAATGTACAGCTATCCTTTAAAATACATTTAAAACCATCACACTTGTCTGGTTGCCAGCTGTAAAACACATGAATTTTACTGCGCGAAAATGCATTTCCCATAAAAAAATTTGATTCATTCCTATGTGGCTGGCTTACATTTATTTTTTATGGAAAACCATAAGTACCCAGCCATACATATGTGCATTACATCACAGGCAGCAATGTATGCATAAGTGTAAATGGGTCCTAAATCCCAACAGGGTTTCTCATCCTTCCCTACTCTATCCAAAAAAGGTTTTAGCTGGACTTATACTTTATGGCAGCAAGCAAAATTCTGCCTTCCCCCTCTGACTACAGTACATGTATCACAAGCCTGCAGAAGCATAAGGTAATAATATAGTAATTAACTTCTTTAAGATCAAACAGAACAGATCTACACCCTAATCTGCTGCGTATTACCATATGAGAATAACGATCTATGGATTGCAGTACTTATTCACACACCTACGAATGCATGAGCACATCTACAGGAGCACACAGGCTTGAGGAGCCTGTACTAAAGTGTACACATGAAGATCTACCCAAGCATGAGTGAGAGAGTTGGCACCTGAACATGTCGCCTAGTGCCATCATTAGAATGATCACCCTACAAAGCAGGTCCGCAAAAGTACCGCTTAGTCAGTAGACAGACTGCTGCACTTGCCTGTGAACATCATAGACATCTGAAGAAGAAAAAAGTAGTACAAGTAGTAGTATTACATTAAAAAAATCAGTTAAAACCTTCTGTGAAAATGGAAGATCCATGTTACTTTTAGTCCCTCATCCCCAACAAATGGTTTTAAAAAAGCTATTGAAAACAGCATTTTTGTATTTACATGATTTATACTGATATACAACTTGATCAGGTCTATACAAAAACTGCACTCTAACTCTTGACCCCTGGGAAGTCCTACTTAATAGACTTAATACCACCACTGATCTCACAAGACATGGTAGAAAATTGACAACCTTCATCTTTCTGGCCATCCTCCAGACCATTGCCAAAGCATGAAAGCAGCCACCATGAGTTTTTGTCAACCTTCATCTTTCTGGCCATCCTCCAGACCATTGCCAAAGCATGGAAGCAGCCACCATGCGTTTTTGTCAACCTTCATCTTTCTGGCCATCCTCCAGACCATTGCCAAAGCATGGAAGCAGCCACCATGAGTTTTTGTCAACCTTCATCTTTGTGGCTATCCTCCAGACCATTGCCAAAGCATGGAAGCGGCCACCATGAATTTTGTCAACCTTCATCTTTGTGGCTATCCTCCAGACCATTGCCAAAGCATGGAAGCAGCCACCATGAATTTTGTCAACCTTCATCTTTCTGGCTATTATCCAGACCATTGCCAAAGCATGGAAGCAGCCACCATGAGTTTTTGTCAACCTTCATCTTTGTGGCTATCCTCCAGACCATTGCCAAAGCATGGAAGCAGCCAACCATGAATTTTGACAACCTTTATCTTTCTGGCTATGCTCCAGACCATTGCCAAAGCATGGAAGCAGCCAACCATGAATTTTGACAACCTTTATCTTTCTGGCTATGCTCCAGACTATTGCCTAAGCATGGAAGCAGGCAACCATGAATTTTTTGGAGGTTAAACAGAGTCATTGGTATCATGATACATGAGAAGCTTATGGCTGTCCTGTATAATTCCAACTCTAAATTGCTTAAAATCTGGCACCACTTGTTGGAGTATAATCACCAACTGTGCCTAAACCACTCCATGTTCTTATCTTTACTGTCTAACCCTCTTTTTCCTGCCCTAATCATATTAGGCTCTGCCCCTGCCTTTATTAGGCTGATAAGAATCGAAATTCTTTTATTTACACCGATGGCCCCACTCCGCCTATTTTACCTTTCCATGGTGTGGTTGTGCCCATTTGTAGTCCTCTGTGTCACATTGAGTTAGACCATATGCATTCCTGTATCTGCTGTGTATGCTGAGGACGGCCCTCCTTGTGCTCCTGTTTCAACGATCATAGGTATGTTAGACGATCCGACAAGTTTGTGTCTTCTGCCATCTGTCTCCATATCATTCCCCAAACACCCACCAATGTACTGGAAGTGGTCTGAGGCTGTGATATGATAAATGGCAAGGGACAACGTTCTTTTCTTGTGCATGTTGAATGCCTGTGTTATTACTGATGTTACTTAATTTTCTTGATGTTTGTTATGCTTACCCTATGCTTCTTTTTTTTCTACTGCAGTACTGTAATCTCTTTTTATTTTGTATACTTTTAATGCCAATAAAACTTTCGCAAAAGAAAGGTATTGGTCCTGAGTGGATGGTGGGAGCAGCCATTTTGTGCCCTTCACTTGGTAGTAATGACAGCAGTTCCTAAATAAGTGGACGCATGACATTTTCTCAAAATGGATGCCTCCACCACTATGTTATCCACATGTGATGTGTTACTTGTACATTGTATGATGGTAAGCACCATAAATTTGCCTTTCAGGATAGAGTTGACCTCTGATCTCACATCCCTGTAACACGTACAGTGCCCAAACACTGTGTGGTAAGAAGCTGCGCCCAATGTGTAGTAATTAGACTCCAGTAATACCCATTAACATGTCTGTTACATTATCCCTTATCCCTTCACACTGACCCAGTCACCCTCCATTAACCACTACAATACCTCTAGCAATTAAAAAGGTCAAAGGTTTACTTCCATACATGTGTACTTTACCTTAGCCAACTTAAATGTTGATTTTTTTTTTATTTAATTAATGGGTCTCCTTGTATGTGGTAAGGCTATTGGGCTGGGACCTCAAAGAAGGAAAACAGAGATCTGTGCTTAGGGAATACGTAGTGTCTATCACTGCTTTTTCGTATTCTAAAAATACTAGTTGCTTGGTTTCCATGCTAAAGTTATGGGTTCTGTGGTATCTGAATCACTGACCTCAAACAAACATGCAGATCAGGAGTTTAGTTGTTGCTGAAGAAGGTATTGAAGTCAAAGCATCATCATGGTAGTCAAACAGCTAACATTTTCAGAAGGAAGTCTAAAATACCAGCTCCTAGGGCTTGATTTCTGCATAGCCATCATAGGCTGTTACCTAAGGTCAGGGCCGGATTTACTCTCTCTGCTGGGGTGCCCCCCCCCCCCCCCATGGAGAATGGCAGACCTGCAGGCTGCATACAAGTGATCTTGGCGACTTTGCCGGGATCACTTGTACAAAACAAGCAGCGGCTCCCCCACTGTGCATTTAGCTCTGCTTGCCCAAACCAAGGCTAAATGTAGAAAACAACTACCCGCCCGGCGCCCGGAACTGCATGTCCCAGGCATCGGGAGATAGAAATTCCACAACCCTGCTGCCCCTCTACTCCCTGCTGCCCCAAGGCCGGGCCTTGGTTGGCCTTGTAGGAAATCCGGCCCTGCCTAAGGTGACAGGACAACCAGGGGCGGCACGTAGAGCTCCTGTATACAACAAAAGGTTCTAGACTGTGGGCCTGACTACCAGTGCTATCAAGCTGGGATGTCCTAGAACAGTGTGTGCATTTTTGTTGGTTGAATATTGTACAATACACTTACATTCTGCATACCTGAAGCTTAAATGCTAGCAGAGCAGGACAGCAGTTTATTCTGCTCTTGTTGTCAGTTCTAGAGTGTACCGACATAGAGTGGGCACACTCTTTCTACCTTTCTGCCTACAACCATTCCCCATTTTCCAGTTTTGCAGCCAAATTGGGAGAACTACTTAATATTTGTTACATGTTCCCATTCCCATAGCATAATTAAAAAAATATATAAAGGAATGCTTACTTTTTACTTGCTTAAAAATCCTACCTAGTTTGGGTGTTTGCATGTAATGCACCTAAAAAAAAGAGTCCTACATATAAACTTGCGTCAAAGAGTCAATTAAAAAGGTAAAACTTTTTAAAAGTATTTTTTAGTTATGCTGTGTGAATGGGAACACATAACGAATATATATAATGGGAGTTTCTCAAATTTGACTGCAAAAATGGAAATATTCAGGGTGCAACAAAAAACATGGTCACATCCCCCAGCCCCCTAACTAGCCCCACTTAACCAAATTGTGGGGTTCTTCTCCCCACAGGCCCCTGTCATTTTTTTTTGTAACATTTGGCATAGTTGTACGTGGCGGTGCACATGTTTTGTGAATGTAGAGACTACATGCCCCATCTGCCACTGCGGTAGACGCCAGCACACTTGTACTCTATTAATAAGTTCTCCCGTCCTGTAACTGAAAGTCTATTTCTTGGTACGGCCAGGGCCTGGGAGGAAGAGTCTGCATGAGCCTGAATATTGCACCCACAATCCACCGATTGTGGTTGCAATGCTTTGTGGGCTAAAACCCAAAAAACGAATACATGCACATTGTTTTCTTATATTTTAGTCCGTGCATTTTTAATTTTTTTTGGAAAAGCTGGACTATGCCTTTAAGGGCTCATTCATACTGGAATCGGCCGGCAAATACAGCTCCGTGCTACGTGCACGGCCGTATCGGGCAGCTCCCGGGAAGGACAGGTGATGCGTGTAATTAGTACGCAGCCCCTGTCCTCCTCTATGGGACTATGTGGCCGTACGCCGCCCTACGCTTACCCGCCCTGCGCGTCCGTGCGGGTGAGCATACTTGTACCGTACGTACCTGCACTTGAGGTGAGCGTAGGGGGCGTATGGCTGCGAAGTCCCATAGAGAAGGACAGGGGCTGCGTACTAATCACACGCAGCACCTGTCCTTCCCGGGAGCTGCCCGATATGGCCGTGCACGCAGCATAGAGCTGTACGTGTCGGCCGATTCCCGCGTGAATGAGCTCTTAGGATAATAGGTAGAGACATGCAAGTGGTTTCTTCATGCCCATGTGGCCAGCGGTGCATCCAGAACCTCTGATTTATAACACAGTGTCTGAAATATAGAGACGATTAACTCTTCACCCATTTAAGTCCCCGTTATTGCAAAAAATTATTACTTCTTTGAAGAAAAGTTTAAAATTAGTACATAACTTTTTTTGGGGGACTTCCAAAGTCATTTAAACAGCTAAACCAATAAACTGTTTGCATGAGCATGCTACTGATGTGACTAGTGACATAATCACAATCCTGCATGGAACTTGGTCTCCCTCTAGTGTTCAGAATGCTGTAATGCACATTATAGCAAATTGCGTGTGTTACAGAGTCATTGTTATAAATTGCTTACAGGACAATGTCAGGATATAAATAAACAGTCTGTGTTTATTAATGAACCAGAAAACGTGAACAATTTTATGTGCAGTGCACAATGATAACATTCACACATTGAGTGGCAGAAGATTGTAAACCTAACCTGTTCAGTGGGAGGTATTGTAGTGACTCACTACAGTTAGCTGAAATGTAATGTTTTGTGTAGAAGAAACACACCACTATCATAAAGATATTGTATTCTTAAAACTGCATGTAATTAATACTTGTATATGGTGATATTCATGTGGATTTTTTAATTTATATTTTTCTCCACTTGTAGACCAAGCTGACCAGGAAAAGCGACAAGGGTTGCGACAAGCTATAACACTGCCAGAGGTGCATACAACAGTCACCTTTTGTTCCCCAAACCAGATATTACAGCAAATATTATTAATTATTACCTTTAGAAAAAGGACCACCTTCATAAAACCATTTAAATTAGAGAACCTTAAAGGTTCCCTACACTTACAAAAGTCCCCATATGGATATAGTTTGGTAGTCAAGTATATTAGGGGATTAAGAGATACTGTATTGTGTACATACGGTCTTGAATTGATAGAGGTTTCCCTAAATATTCCCCTTAATATTGCACCAATATAGCTAACTTATCATCTTCAGTGTCCCAGGATAACACTATATTGCAGAGCAATCTGCAACACAAATTTGTAGAGTGAGCAAAGTCTATATGAGAGTCACAGAAGAAAATCTCTGAATATGATAAGTATGCGGTATCGCTTGGTATCCTAAAACACTTAACTTTTCCTCAGATGTCATGTTGCTATCTATGAGCATCACAAGTGAGATATTGATTTGAATTAGAACTTTTTTGAGTGAACATGATATCTTACAATAGGAGCACAATACCTTTCTGCTGCAACTCCTTGGATTCCTATTCCTATACCCATATCTTTGTGAAAACATTGACAGTACTGTATAGTGTGCAATTTTAATGTAACCATGGAGGGATAACCCCCAATTCATACTGGACCAGCTAATATCATATAGATGGCATCATCTTTGTCATCACATGCATACTGTATATAATTTTGTACATACAATTGGAATGACAGAAGATTGCGCTAAATGAGTATTCCCAGTATCATGGGGACAACTGTTAACAGGTTTCTTAGATCCATCTTTCATCTGCTTCACCAGGAGACTCTCAGGAATATATTTGCTACAAGTAGTTTAATAATTTATATCATTCAGATTCTATGGTACCTAACCCACACAATAGAGCACTGCTAAGAAGACCCTTAATATACTGAAGCAGAAATATCTTGGACTTTCTGTGGAAACCAAAGACACTGATAGATTTGGTATACTTACCTGGCAGGTTGTCAGCTAAAGCTGTCCATGCATTAGGAGAATTTCCTAAAGAACCGGTAGTGGCGTCACAAGGGGGGTGTGGCCAGCACCCGGATGCCACCATTGGATGGATGACACCAAAATGACTCAGAGTCATTTTGGTGTCACCCCCTATGAATCGGTCTCCGCCCCCGGTGACACCCAGCCTCGGGACGCCCCTGAGAACCGGCCGACATTTGCACAGTGGGTGCCACTGTCTGCACCCTTCCGGTCGGCATCCTTCGATCAGCTGATTGAAAGAGCCAGTTAGAAAATCTCCAAATGAACAGAGCTGGCAGCCAATCAGCCAGCATCAGCATATAAGCACTCAGTAAAGCCATTAAATCATTTGTAAAATACATGATTCATTATCAGTGAAAATGTACTTCCTGCTCTTCCACTGCAGTAGTCTATGGTAGCATAGATGAGTAACAGCCATACCCCTCATCACAAGTCCCCATGAAGATTTGTAGAGCTGAGGAAGAGAGAGAGGGGGCATGCTTGACGAAATCTGTTAGATTATGAAATGCATTTGGCAGTGTGATCAAACTTTGGTGCTTATTGGACTGTGTGGTTCTATTTAGACATGCTGTGCAACTGCTGCAACAGGAAAGTAGAGGCAAGATAATGGAAATGGAGGTTGTTGCTACACTGTCTACCTGACAAAATATCTATTTCTCCTTAAAAAAATGAAGTGTTCCAACAACTTATTGCCCATACCTCTGCAATAGTTTTCCCCAACCTGTGTGATTGTCAGCTTTACTGGACAGCTTGGTCTGCATGCAAACGTGATGAAAAATGTAAATTTCACTTAAGATAAAAAAAAAGACTGTACGCTGAATACTATCATTGCATCTATTAATCACGCACACGTATTGGAGTACAATATTTTTTTGCAATTGTGGTCTTTTATACTGGCATCAGACATAATGCACTGTTCAATGCATGGAGAAAAGGACAATGGTGACATTGCTCACAAACATTTTCACAGGTCATATTATTGTACACACAACATAAATGAGTCACAACCTTCACACAAGTCTGAACATATTCTGAAAATATCGTTCACATTCGGTATTTAAAGTTATTTACATACAATCATTTTGAATTGACATAATTTCTTAGGCTGCTCATACGCTATACTGTCTAATTGTACAATCTCTGTACAATCTCCTTTTAGATTTACCAAAAACTATGTAATATGAGGAGACATCTAAACAATCCAGGCTGACCCTTGCACTATTTAGTTGATTGCGCAATCACCTTTAGATGAACAATCACAAGGTATAGCGTATAGTCAGCTTTAGGCAGGTGGCACCTACAGTGGTTTATATGTATGACACATCCACCTCTGGATTTGATGTGCAGGCAGTTATGTCTACATAAAAAGTGCATAGAGAACAACTGATATTTTTAATTTGTATCTGTATTCAGCTTATTTCATGGCATCTAAAACAATTACATGATTAGGAGGCATCATAAATTCCTCTTTTATTTGCAAGACTTCTGCCCACACTGGTACACTCATCTCTGCTTAATTTGGTAGGAGAATGGGCAGACAATGGAACATGATTGCATTTGAAAGTGGTCACATTCCACCTCATGGGGTGGCTGGTATGGGCTACTGTAGTATGACTGTAGTATAACTTACAACCAATAAAGACACACTAGTTTTACTTTCTTACCGAATGGTTATCACAAGCCACCTACCAAGGGCCAACCTTTTGTAGGTGGTAAAGAGCATGTCAAACTTATTATCAGCACCACTCTCACTCATAAGCAGTAAGTACTCCATATAGGTTGTTTTCGCTCCTTATATTTCAAAGCAGACAAACCAATGCTGGTAGTGTTTGGTGGAGGGTTTTCAGTGCTGAAAAAAGAAAGAAATACCTCATGTACTGACACCGAACGTTAACATATCCCTAACTGTAACCCTAACATTTTCCCCCTTCCTTCATCTGAGACCTAAAAGAGGACAACTGTACCTTTGGTATAAGTTGTCCTTAAAGGCATACCCACACCGCCCTGAGTGCAGTCCACCTGGTCCAGTACTTATCTTCTTCAACGTTCCAGTGATTTTAACTGTGTGGCCCTTCCCGGAGTCACACAGCTATTCCTCTGAAAGCCTTCTCCAGGTTCTCTTCATCACAAACATCCATGCCACAGCCCTATTCAGATGGGAAGAGCTGTAGTCCACAGGATGTAGAGGATCCAATGGAAATGCTTCCAGAAGAAAGGATGTGGTCGCTGAAATGGGGAAGAAGATAAGCACCGGACTAGGTGGGCTGAACCCATGAGGGTGGGGACATCTCTTAAAAACAGTGTACCAAAGCTACGGTAGTTCATTCACATAAATCCTTAATAATACCCTAAATCTAAATCTTCCCCTACCATTTAGCACTTAAACCTTAACACAACCCTGAAACCTAGCATATAACCTCAAATCTGAATGTCACTGCGATATAAAGCACTAGGTATGCTCAGACTGGCAGAAGGAGGTACAGACATGTTGACTAATCAAGGCTCTGGTGCTCTGCATAGTCCTCTAATTCAAACTGGCCATTCTTTTGGAACAAGAAAGAAGAGAAGTGACCTAATCAATGTGCTGCAGTTTCTTCATTGTCCAACCATCAGGTCAGGTAGGTAGGTGACCAAGATGTATGTTTTAATTAAAGTGGAGAGTAGGGAGGTCCCCATCCTGGCTGTTCTGTCCAGTAGGGGATTACAGGCTGAATAAAAGTGCCAGTCTTTAGAAGATAAAGCAGTTGTTATATATTTAGTTCAAATTTGCATTTATCTGTTGGCCTAGAGTGCAGCTTTAACCCTTAATTTTAATCTTACACAACTTCAAAAATCCATACTCTAAGAACCTGTGTTGACTGGCTTTGGGCTTGTGTTGTTGATGGCATCGGTTTGACATCAGTTGAAATGCTTCTGAGATCATTTAGAATTCATTGACAGGTGCATTTGGCCTGCAGTTGATCTCCTTCTGACCTGCATTTTATATGCTTCAAGAGGGTTTTGCATTCCCATAAACTTGTATGGAATTGTAAAATCTGTTTGAAGTGAAGAAAAGCCAGTTGACATAGACCGTAACTCTAACCCCATAAAAACCCAGGCTTATCTCATAAGTGCCCTGGACTGAGTATTGCTCCTGGTGCCAAAAAATAACTGTTATGGGTTTTTTGGTAGTAAGAAACATGTCCTCCTATCCATGTATAACATTGATTACCAATGACCCTCAATGACCCTCTCGTCTGTTTTAAAGGGCCTGTATACTTCAGTTTTGGTACACACTGCTTTTTTATATGTCAGCAGCAAGCAGATGCAATCAGTAACAGAATCCTTAGGGAAAGCCAAGTTAGTACAGACTATAGGGGTTATTCACAAAGCTGCCGAAGACAGCCAAGTAAATAACCCAGCCGAAGTGAAGTGAGCCGAACAACGTTCGGCTATTCAATACGGCTCAGTACGGCTGATTTCAGCCGTACATCGGCTGCACTTCGGTCAGCTGAACATGCTCTGCATGTTCAGCTGAGCCGAAGTGCAAAAGGACTTCGACTCAGCCGACTCAACATCTGGATCGGCTGAGCCAGAGCTCCGGCGCCTCACTCGCTGCCGTTCGCCCCTATTTACATAGGGGCCGCATGGCAGTGAGTGAATAGCCGAATGCCGCCAAGCGTGGTACTAAGCAGAATAGCAAATCAGTGATAATAGTTAAAAAAAAAGAAAGAAAAGGTTAAAAAATATTTTAAAAACTTAAATAGTTACATTTAAAAAAAACAAGATTTTTTAAAAAGAATAAAAATAAACAAAAGAAGAATTATAAAGATAAAATTGGGCAGTGTTAGTAGTGACAGCTATCTCCGCCCAACTGTTTGTTATTGGCCGGGACCTGCTAGAGTCTTCTAGCAGGTCCCGGCCAATGAATAATACCTGGGCGGAGCCATCCGTGATGTCACGGCCGGCTCCGCCCAGTTGTAATTGTTTAATGACAGTTCAGCGTCCCCAGATCATTTGGGGATGCTGATCTGTCATTACAACTAGGTGGCGCCAGCTGTGAGATCACGGCTGGCTCCACCCAACTGTCATTTGCGGGGCGAAAAGGCCAGCCTTAGGCCGGCCGTTCGCCCGGCTTGGGCTGTCACTTTGGCTCAGTCGAGCTAAAGCATATGCCTTCGGCTTGGCCGAGCTGCTCGGTGCCTTTGGCTGCTGTACGGGCTATAGTGAGTATCTCATACAGCAGCCCTTCGGTTCCGGCAGCCGAAGAGAGCTGAAGGATCAGCCGAAGCTACACCTGGATCCTTCGGCTCCTACGTGAATAACCCCCTATGTAATCAGCTAGACTGGATACAGTCCTAGCAAACTAAATTTAGGTAGTCACCCCGCTTAGGGCAAGGCGGCTACAATAGTCTATCACAGGACTGAACTTGGAGTATTGGCTGCTTAACAACGCACACAGGGACCATGGGGAAAAAAAGTAGTCACCCTCCAGAAGGAACGACAGTGCCAGCACCAATTCAGAGATGATTTGAGGAGCTACAGCCGAGTGATACACAAATAAGATACATTTTTGTACTCAGGGTACTTTAATGCATTTTTAAGATTTAACTGCTGAGCATAGTGTCAGTTTAAGCAAAAGGAGGCATATTTCTTATATATAAAACACTCCGAATCTGAGTTTAGCTGCATCTTAGATATACTGGCTATCCTGTGCAAAGCATGTAGACAAACAGAAGTATTATTGGGAAGAACGCCCTGCTTTTTCAGTGACAATAAAACTAGTGATTTCCTTTTGTTTTTGTCTTTCTACAGAACTGAAGATGATAAGAAGTTAACCTTACAGTCCAGCTAAAGAGATTTACTGAAAAGATCAGACCTGCCCACCCAACAATATTATATGAGCAAACCAAAATTCTGTACCAGTTCCATAGGAGAACACCAGCCGTTTTCTGTTGTTGGATTTAAGCCAGTAACTGTTATTGGAAGTGTATAGCTGGGAGTTCGATGGAATTGATTCGAACAGTGATGGCTATTGCGCAGTTCAGTGCTGATCATGTAATCTTAACCAAAGGGCCTATACAGCACATCTTTCCTGCTTTAGCCATTTGAATCCCAGCACTTGGAAATAAAATCCAAAGGCTTTGTCTTTCAGTGCAATATCCAGTCCTAAATCTATGCAAATATTGCCTTAAGTATTTGATATATACATTGTAGATGAATACATACACATTTTCTCTATATGGCATGATACACAATAGGAGATAAAACATATTTCGGATGTCTCATTGACTCTGGACTGTGATTGTTAGATATTAATGTGGATATATAAATGTCTTTATTGGAATTATTTAAAAGTAGGGCAAAGTGCTGGAAAGGCAGTAAACCTTGGCAACCAATCAGAAATCAGCTTTCAATATTCTGCTCAATCATAGCTGCTTAAGACTAATCTCTAATTGGTTGCTATGGGTTACCGCAATCATTTTTGCACTATGTTAGTAAATAAGCCCATATTTCTTTAACAACACTGATCTGCAATTGGATCAGTGAGCTGGGCTGTGTCACATAGCATTATCCATAATATACATAAATAGTACATTGCATTCCCTAAGTGCTTGCTTTCTGTTCTCCCCTCATATAACCACGTACTCCTTTGTAATAGTATAATCATCCACCATGCAGCATTACAGCACTGAATGATACACCTCAATAGCTGTCCTCACACATAGTGATATAATAATTATACATTTGTTGTGTTTTTTTTTGGCCTTTTGTCACATTACCTGTTTTGTACTCCTTTTCAGTCCACATGACAGCTGCCACTAGATGGTGCTATTTCTAATTACAGTAAACTCTCTGTTATCCGGTATTCAACTAACCAGCGCTCTCATCTAACCAGAAAAAAAAAATCCCCTGTGTACTCATTGTTCTGCTGATCTGTGGCATGTATTATCCTGGAAACGATTGTGTGCTTATTTGTCTTCATTTGCTTTTGATTACAATATGAAGTCAATACAGAATTAATGTTATGATATGGTATAGTATGGGGTATGGCATTAGTTAGACCTCTTTTAATAGTACCTCTCAAGCAACCAGAAACTACATTGATCCGGAATCTACCAATCCCCGTGGATGCCGGATAACAGGGAGTTTACTGTATATTTATCCCAGGTTACTCTAAAATGTTACAGATGTCCTTTGTTGTATAATCTGTATTATTTGGAAAATACCTGCTTAAAGCACAGCTTCCCTAAGTCAATACATGTACTCAGGATGCAGCTAGACTGTAAATGGTTAAACTGTTTCATCAACGTAGAACAGCTGTAGAATAAAATCAGCCTGTCCTCCACTAGTAGTCCACAGTGTGTAAACAGTGGCCTCTCTGCAGCAGTCCGATACCCCTCCCCATGCTAAGTAAGAGTTAGAGTTGTGCAAGCAGCAGGGAGCTTCAGATCGCTCTCTAGAGAGGCCGCTGCTTACTAAGAGAGAGCAACATTCCTCTCTGCAGCCTACTGGCAGGGGACAGGCTGTTTTCATCCCAAAGCAGCTCCAGCATGAAACCAAAAGAGCTTAACCATTTACTCTCTGGCTGCACCCAGAGTTGATGAATTGATTTCTAAGGGAAGCTTCCGTTGAGTTTAATGCCAACTACGCTTTTATTCAATTCCGCTGGTTAGATTGCAAGCTCTTTAGGGCGAATTGGGATTGTGTCCTTTATGTGCTATACATTATATCAGAGACAGATGCATCATGTATTCTCCTTACCAGGGTACAGAGGGAACAGCTGGGTGCCATCTTTAAGATGATGGAGAACAACCAGGAGACCTTTGGGATGATGTCAGAAGGCGACTTGAAGGAGCAGCTGAGGCTTTACAACATGTAGTTCCCCTCTGCTGCTACAAGCAAATCAAAAGCTCTGATTGTATCACAAACTCTGTCTTTCTCAGACACGCTGTGCCATGTGAGGTGGTGTTAAATTTTTTTAATGGCTATCACATTATTTTTGGAATGTGTCTGTACACTATCCTAGAAGTGCATTACCTTTCTGCAATGCAAGATATTGGTGACATTTGCAGAGAAAAGTATTGAGTTTGTTGTGAAAACTCAGCAAAGGTCATAAGGCTGATCATTTCAGCAGCTATGTGGCTGATCTCAGCTAGCATTAACACACGTATAACACATGTCATGAAGGGGATGTGAAGTTGGCTGAGATCCCTCAGCATGCTGGAAAATTTCAGTGGCCAATTATGCAATCTTTTTAATTTTCATAAGGAAGGGAATGATCTTTTAACTGTGCTTATGAAACGTTACGAGGACTAGTGTAGCTTGGGTAGCAAGGCTAAAATATGGGCACAATGGAAACTTAGTGCAATATCACCATTCTTACTATTTCCTATAATAATAAATAATAAACTATAACATTAATCTTTTCTCATAAGGTATTCCTTCACCATAATAATGAAGATATATTGATGGAGCGCTGGAGCAGGATTTTCTCAGACATTTAGATCTGTTATTATATTAGTTAAGGCTTCTCCCTAAGACCCTTTGGGTTCAAAGAAAAGAGTCACAATAGTAAGTATATGAGAATGAAGAGTGGTAGGTGTGTGGTTGACAATCTAGTTCAGTTTTTATTTGTCATAAGAGTAAAAAAAGCATTTTGGAGCTTTACTGATCCCCCTTCTTCGGGGCTTGTGCAGAGGTGGGAGAAAGCTGGACTGAGAAACTGTATCCTGGAGTAAATTTCTCTAGTATGGATTAGGAGCCAGCTCTAGTCTTCAAGTAGATCCCATTACATTCCTGACCCACCCAAGGTAATGGGTGGGTGCTGAGATGACAGCAGAGGCCTCTGCAGATCAGTATCACGTGGTAGAAAATTCACTCGCACTCCAATGATATTTCCAGTCAATGTTCTTTATTGACAAAAGAATTGTCACTTTGTACAGCAACGTTTTGGAACCGTACAGGCCCCTTCTTCAGGCAAACACAGTGTTTGCCTGAAGAAGGGACCTGTACGGTTCCGAAACGCTGCTATACGATGTGACAATTCTTTTGTCAATAAAGAACATTGAATGAAATTCTGATTGGAGTGCAAGCTCTAGTCTTTATTCTACTAGATGAATAAAAGTTGAACTGGACCGTCACCCATATGCCTGGCGCTCTCTTCATTCTACTGTAGTCACCATAATAATGGCTATTTCGATTGGAAAGAAAAGAGATGATCAAAAAAGCAGTGCATAGCAATGGTAACAGTTTTACAGCAACGCAATAAACCAGGTTGGACAATCCCAGGAGCCAGGTCACCAAGCACCTAAAACATTATCTCCTAACTTATTGAAGCCTTTATTATTATAATCAATGGTAGCATACTGTCGATTCCCTGGCTCACAATTTCCTGCTGGCACCAAGATTGCACTAGCTAGCTTCTGAATTTATTGATCTGGTCCCATGCAATAAAAATACTTCACCTGACAAGAAGCCTTCCTATAGTGAGCTCACCAAGAATCAAAACCCTGGTGCTTCGCTGTACCAACCAATAGTTTCTTTATACAGTATATTGTTTGATTTAAACACAGCTACTCTGTCATTATGATGATTTGTATGTTTATTTTGCTAGCATTTGCTATATATATATACTTTTTGTCCAATTATTTTGTATAGGAATTTGCTAGCATGGTTTACTTTCCATGCAGGAGACCAGGTGTAATGGGTGTAGATTGCACAGCAGTAGCCAGGCTTGTGGAAAATAGATGACCTGAATACAGTAGAGGCTCCAACCAGTATACCTTAGAAGCTCCACCCTGTGATGGGAATAAGAGATTTTCATGTTTGTGCTGATTGCACAGTTTCTTCTTCTTCTATAACATTTCTTATCATTTCTAATAAAATATTTTGCAAGCCTTATTGTTTTGTTTGCGTCTATTTATTTTATATGGTTGTGGCAACTTATGTGTTTGACTTACTGTCAGGGGGATGTATAGCATTAAAGCTGAACTTAGGGTTGCCACCTTTTCTTCAAGCCAAACCCGAACATTGTAACACCTCACGGCAATTTTTTGGTAAAGTATACTATGCACATGTAATTAAATAACATTTGAGGTAATCACAAAGATACCAGTGTACCACAGATCTACAGACATACATTCTGTACATAAACAATGCCCCCATAAGATGCCAGTGTGCCACAAATCCACAGGTATACACTATGTACATAAACAATGGCCACATAAGATGCCCGTGTGCCACAGGACCCCAGATATATGTACAATACAAAGCAGTATCCATATACCTTGTCGCACTCCTTACCTGATATCCCAAAAGTAACGGGTGCTCGTAATGACTGCGAATAGCACTGCTCACAAAAGAACTCCAATATAGATGTCACCGGCACCAAGATTCCATGTTAGTGTAAATTAGAGATGATACCATTTTTTCAGTATAAAGTGCGAGTACCGATATTTTTTTCCCGGTACTCGCCGATACCAAATGCTGATACCGGTGCCTTGTGCCCCAATTGTCATGAAGTCGGGCAGCGGATCATGACCCATCGCCCGGTTTCCTGATTGCCTGTGAAGCCGGTATTCCAGTGAAAGAACACCGGCTTCAGAGGCTTCCTGACCAATCAAGAAGACGGGGGGGGGAGTTATGATGTGTACTTGCCTCCTGTTTTCCTGATTGGCTGGAAGCCAGGCTGCCTACCAACGAGTGAAGCTGGCTTCCTAGCCAATCAGGAAGCTGGACGGCACATCATGACCTGCCTTCCGGCTTCCTGATTGGCTAGGAAGTTGGCTTCAATTCTTTCTAGGCAGCGTGGCTTCCTGGCCAGTCAGGTACATTATTCACAGTTGGTTTAAAAATGATGACCTGTATAGGCTTTTTAAGTGTCGCATATGGACAATTTTGGGTACCAACATTTTATGTTGTTTCATGGGCGCGAGTAATTTTGAGACTTGACACGTTTGGTATCTACTACTCATGTCCCATGAACACTCATGTGTGCGTGCGCTGTACTATGCACATGCGCAGAAGTATCATAAGGCTTCCTGTGCATGCCTGCACTCAGAGCAGCTTCACATGAGCGGATCGCTCACATTGTGGCGGCTACAATAGGGCTATATAGAGAGCCTACAAGTCAATGAAACCTCCCAAAATCGGAAATATCCCGGAGTAATCTTTCAAATGCATGTTTAGCTGAACAGATGTAACGCTGAACAAAAAAAGACCCAATGTAGAAGAATTAAAGTGTGGATACAAGATTATTTTTTGTTTTCCACTTGGGTTTTATAAAACTTTAATAAAAGCTTTCTGTAGAATTTACTTTTGGAGTTTATTTCTAAATATGCATATAAAGGTGTCCAAACAGTTTATTTACGCTGCATAAAAATCTTACAATCAAAACAAAGTAAACCCAATTACTAAAAATAATATATAAGCTTTAGCATGTGCATTTAATTTCAAAGTAATTTTCAATC